CTTTGCCTCCTGGGCTCAAGTGATCCTCCCACCCTCAGCCTCTGGAGTAGCTGGGACTTTGGGCACGTGCCACCACGCCCAGCTGTGAAACATTCTTCCCAGAAGATCATCATCTGGGTCTTGAGCCTGCTGGCCCACAGCGCAGATTTTGGACTTGCCCACCTCCATAACTGCAAAAGCCAATTCCTTATGATAAATCTTTCTAAATACATATACAACCTCTCGGTTCAGTTTCTCTGGAGAACGCTGACTAATACGATGTTGGACAGGAAGTTTCTGCTCTCAATCTTTAAGAACAGGTGAATCCTATTCATGGCATGGGGGCCACTGGAGTATATTTCTTTTCTTTCTGGGGGGAGTGGGGGAGGAGGATCATGTTCTCACTCTGTTGCCCAGGCTTGAGTGCAGTGTGTGATCATAGCTTACTGCAGCCTTGACTTCCAGGCTCAAGCGATACTCTCACTTCAGCCTCCGAAGTAGGTGGGGCTGCTGGTGCATGCCACCGTGCTAGGCTGATTTTTTAATTAATTTATTATTTTTGAGATGGGGACCTTACTCCGTCACCCAAGCTGTAGTACACGATCATGGCTCACTGCAGCCTCAATATCCCTGGGCTGAGGTGATTCTACCAGCTTAGCTTCCGGAGTAGCTGGGACTACAGGTGTGTGCCACCACGCCCGACTAATTTTTGTGTTTTTTGTAGAGGCGGGGTCTTGCCATGTTGCCCAAGCTGGTCTCAAACTCCTGCGCTCAAGCAATCCGTCCACCTCAGTCTCCCAAAGTATCAGGGTTACAGGTGTGAGCTACTGAGCCCAGCCTAATTTACTTTTTGTAGAGACCAGGTGTCCCTATGTTGCCCTAGCTGGTATTGAACTCCTGGGTTCAAGTGATCCTTCACTTTAGCCTCCCTGGAGTGTTTTCAGACAGCTATCCTGAAGTTCCCAGGAGAGTAACACATGGCTCTGGGGTTGAGAGGAGTTGAATGACGGGTTCCCTTTAAGACATTACCGTTTCTTCTGTTCTCCTGGGAGAGTAATGCTGGGGACATGCCCAGTAAAGCCATTAGGCAGGAGGATCCATTGAAACACCGCATCTGTAATCAACTGTGTCTGTCTAGAGCAGAAGAATGTTTAAACCATGAGGGAAGGTATCCAGAGTGCCTGGCCTTGGAACTTCTTCCCAGGATGTGGGGATGTAGGGTGAGTGGATAGACTGGGTCTTTGTCTACATCCAAAAGATGTGTCCTTTTTTCATTTGTTTGTTTTCTTCTACTCTTTAATCTTCTTTAAATCTTGTGCTTGTGTTGTGGCACCAAATCTTGTGCTTGTGTTTAGGGAGAACTGAAATAAACTTACAAATTCAGGCTGTGCACACAGATGTTTATAGTGGCTTTATTCCTAACTGCCAAAACTTGAAAGCAACCAAAATGTTCTTTAGTAGGTAAATGGATAAACTGTGGTACATCCAAACAATGGAATATAACTCAGTGCTAAAAAGAAATGAGCTATCAAGCCATGAAAACACATGGAAGAGGGGCCAGGTGCGGTGACTCACGCCTGTAATCCCAGCGCTTTGGGAGGCCGAGGCAGGTGGATCACGTGAAGCCAGGAGTTCATGACCAGCCTGGCCAACATGGCAAAACTCCGTCTCTATTAGAAATACAAACATTAATTGGGTGTGGTGGCACACGCCTGTAATCCCAGCTACTCAGGAGGCTAAGGTAGGAGAATTGCTTGAACCTGGGAGGTGGAGGTTGCAGTGAGCTGAGATTGCACCACTGCACTCTAGCCTGTGAGACGGGGAGAGACTCTATCTCAAAACAAACAACCAAACAAAAACCAAGAAACAAAACAAAACAAAAAAACTTGGTTTCCATGGTTGGGAAGGGGGTTGGAGAAGAATAGGGAGCACACAAAGGACTTCTAGGGCAGTGGAAATATTCTATATACCTTTATGGTAGGCACGTCATACATTTGTCCAAACCCATAGGATGTACACCACCAAGATTCAGCCCTCAGGTACTATGGAGTTTGGGTGAAAATGTAGGTTCATTCATTGTGGCAAATGTACCAGTCTGGTAGAGGATGTTGATAATGGGAAAGGCTATGTGAGTGAGGGCGCAGGTATGTGGGAAAACTGCACCTTCCTCCCAGTTTTGCTGTTAACTTAAAACTGCCTTTTAAAATTTTTTTTGGAGACAGGGTCTTACTTTGTGACCCAGGCTGGAGTGCAGTGGCGCAAACAAAGCTCACTGTAGCTTCAACCTACCAGGCTCAAGCAATCATCCCACCTCAGCCGACCGATTAGCTGGGACTATAGGCACACACCATCATGCCTGGCTAATTTTTGTATTTTTTGTAGAGATGGGATTTCACCATGTTAGCCAAGCTGGTCTCAAACTCCTGGGCCCAAGTGATCCTCCCATCTCTACCTTCCAAAGTGTTGGGATTACAGGTGTGAGCCACTGTGCCTGGCCAAAACTGTCCTTAAAAATAGTCTTCACATAGTGAGAGCCCCGTCTCTCCAAAAGGTAAAAAAAAAGAAATTAGCCAGATGTGGTGTCGCACACCTGTAATCCCAGCCAGTTGGAGAGCTGAGGTGGGAGGGTCGCTGGAGCCGGGGAGTTTGAGGCCACAGTGAGCCGTGATGCACTCCAGCCTGGGTGACAGAGCGAGACCCTGACTCAAAAGAGAAAAAAAGCTCTCGAGAGTATTTCGAACCAATTTAGTAGCCATGTGTGAGTACTCTACAGTAGTTTGCTAAGTTGGTGAATTCCCAGTAAGGTTTATGGAAAACGCTCAGGGCTGCAAGCTAGTGGGGGACTGGACTAGTCACTTCCTTTCTCTGGCACGCTTCTCCCACTTGTAAAATGGGAGGAGTGGTGTAGCAGGCAGGACAAATTCCCAGTTCTGAGGTTGCCTCCATTTCAAAAAAACTGATTCTAGAAGGAGGATCAAATATATGTTTGCTCCTGTATAATTTTGCCAAGCATAGGTCCTGATACCCGACAGCAATCTCTCAGGGACTGAAAACCAAAGCAACTTTCTTGCTTACTCCTTCACGTGACTGGAAAAGGATATACTGCTCAGGCGAGGTCTTTTATACACCGTCACACACACACACAAATGACTCTTCCAAATGTCAGTTTATTTTGGGATTGTACAGAGAGTGAAATGTTTCTTTTTTTGTCTTTACTTAAATACAGAGCATCTGAAGATTGAAAGTCAAGCTGTCAAAAACTTAACATTTGCACTAGGCTGGCATACAACTGAGACTATAACCTAAATTTAAATTTTTGTGTTAAAAAAAAAGTCTCACTGTTCTGGTGGACTTTAATAGAAAAAATATAAATAAAATATAAAATTAAGAAGAAAATTGGGTGCAAAAAATTTTAGTTGTGCCAGACAAGGTGGCGTGCACTTGTAGTCTCAATTACATAGGATGTTGAAGTGGAAGGATTGCTTGAGCCCAGGAGTTCGAGGCCAGCCTGGGCAACACAGCAAGACTGAGTCTCCCTCTCTCACTCAGGCTGGAGTGCAACGGCACAATCTTGGCTCATTGCAACCTCCACCTCTCAGGTTCAAGCCATTCTGCCTCAGCCTTCTGAGTAGCTGGGACTACAGGCGTGCACCACCACGCCTGGCCAATTTTTGTATTTTTAGTAGAGACGGGGTTTCGCCATGTTGGCCAGGTTGGTCTTGAACTCCTGATCTCAGGTGATCCGCCTGCCTTGCCTCCTAAAGTGCTGGGATTACAGGTGTGAGTCACCATGCTCGGCCTATAATGCATCTATTCTAGTGCCCAGCAACATAGTTGGCAATGAATACCTGAGACAGCTATTAATGGATTCCAGACTTTTTTTTTTTGAAACAGAGTCTCACTCTGTCACCCAGGCTGGAGTGCAATGGCACGATCTTGGCTCACCGCAACCTCTGCCTCTCGGTTTCAAGTGATTCTTGTGCCTCAGCCTCCCAGTAGCTGGAATTACAGGCACCCACCATCATGCCTGGCTAATTTTTTTTTTTTGAGACGGAGTCTCACTCTGTTGCCCAGGCTGGAGTGCAGTGGTGCAATGTCAGCTCACTGCAAGCTCTGCCTCCCAGGTTCACGCCATTCTCCCACCTCAGCCTCCAGAGTAGCTAGGGCTACAGGCACCCGCCACTACGTCTGGCTAATTTTGTTTTTGTATTTTTAGTAGAGACGGGGTTTTGCCGTATTAGCCAGGATGGTCTCGATCTCCTGACCTCGTGATCCACCCGCCTCAGCCTCCCAAAGTACTGGGATTACAGGCATGAGCCACCGCGCCCGGCCTAATTTTTGTATTTTTAGTAGAGACAGGGTTTTGCCATGTTGGCCAGGCTGGCCTTGAACTCCTGACCTCAGGTGATCCATCTGCCTCGGCCTCCTAAAGTGTTGGGATTACAGGCGTGAGCCACCATGCCCAGCCATGGACTCCAGATTTTAATACGACACCAAAATACCTTGTGAAAAGTTGGACCTTTTTTTTTTCTATTAGGGAACAACATGCTGAAGAAAAAGCACAATTAGATCCAGAAAGTACACTTTTTCATATATAATAAAACTCCATTTGCTCTGTAGGCAACTACATTTATTTAGAATCTTTGGAAATATCTTATACATACAAACATTCAGCACTTTTATTCTTCCTGGCTTACTTCCCTCTCATGCTAATTCTATTAGTGATATCATTACTATACTTAAATGGCCCAAATGATGAGGCCAAATATAAGAGCACTACTTCTTTCACAAATTGCCATTTTCATAGCCTCTCAGCTTGTCAGTAAGTTCTGAGGCAAAAATATCTTTTTGGAAAGGCAATTACTTATTAGTCATGCAAGCAGAGACAGAACCGATTATGACAAGTACTAGTTCTATCAATTTAGTGCAGTAAGAAGTATAAAGCATCATAAATCCTTCATCAATATACTTTTACTAGCATGACCTAAAAGGATAATGTATAAAGAAACACAACAACAATGTATTATCTCAAAATGTGTATTTAATGGCCATTCCATCAAAATAAAGCAGAATCCCGTTTCAAAACTATTATATGTATATATATTTTTAAGGTGCATTTTCAAGTTTCATTTGGGTTTCATTTCTTCGTGGCTTGCCTGAGGTGTTCTTGCAGGTATAATTAACACAAAATGTTCTGAGGTTGGTGGCTTTTCATGCATTGAAAAATGAGATCCTAACAACATTGCACATCTTGGATACATTAGAAATTTTAAAAGCCGTGTGTAATTTCAGAAAACTCAATATCGTCATGAAAGACGTTTTCAACACAAAATTTAGGCACTCTATACTTTGGAATAGCCATAAAATATTCCAATAAGAGTTAATGCACTTTGTGATTACATCTACTCAAAGATAATTCTCAATTAAAATCTATACTTATTAAATAACATTTTAAATTAGAGCCCGTTAAACTTTGACAATTACTGTGAAATATTTGCAGCATTGTGTTGTAGTTAAATAATGCTGAACTACTTCTATTACTGACTCTAGTACTCATCCTTCATGTTTTTTTTTTTTTCTTTTCTTTTTTTTTTTTTTTGAGACAGAGTCTTGCTCTGTTACCCAGGCTGGAGTGCAGTGGCACGAACTTGGCTCACTGCAACCTCCACCTCCCAGGTTCAAGCAATTTTCCTGCCTCAACTTCCTGAGTAGTTGGGATTACAGGCGCCTGCCACTACACCCGGCTAATTTTTGTATTTTTAGTACAGACAGGGTTTCACCATGTTGGCCTGGCTGGTCTCAAACTCCTGACCTCATGATCCACCTGCCTTGGCTTCCCAAAGTGCTGGGATTACAGGTGTGAGTCACTGTACCTGGCCATGGTACTTTTAAAAACAGAGGACTCTATAGCATCCACCAGTAAGCATCTCTCCCTTTTTCTTGCTAATATATGAGTAAGATTGCCAATAATCGACTTAAAAGTATTCTTGTATTTTCTGCTGTAGCTGCTTTCTTAGCATGCAAAACTTCAGCAAATGGGAGTCTCCTTGGAGATCAGGAAACTTCAGCCATGCATTTTCATCACAGATTCCTAGGCTCAATTCATTTGCTCACTTTGCAGCTAAGTATGTTGCTCCATTTAGGTTCCTGTAGTCTGTGCTGCTGGACTGACTGCTACGGAGGTGAAGGGAAAGATAATCAAATATGTCTCCCTACTTTGTACAAGGCCAAGGCCACCCAGACCTTGTTTGACTTGAGACAAAACTTGCTTATCTCTGCAGTGTGGTTCTGGGGCTTCTACCTCCTTTTCCTAAGACCGAGGGGTGGGAATGATGCCTGCCTACTGAAATGCCATTAATTCCAGGTGATCTTCCTGGATTTGAATTTAATTTAGCATTGTTAGAATTCAGAACATGTATGCTAGTTGTTCCTGTTGAGAATAAGATTCAGTTGCTCAGTGGTATGCATTTAGATGACGCAGAAAACAATTAGTCTTTCAGAATTTTTAGAAGATTACAGTCTGTAAATTGACTCATCAAAATCACCAATGACTAGCATATAAAGATCTATCCAGAGAAATGAATTTGAGACTTATTTGACTATAAGTCATACAGAAGACAGCACAGTAATTTCCCATAGGAGAATCTGGTATTTCATCTTGGGTATCACTGGTAATTTAATTACACTGCTAATGTTTTCTTGCTTGCTTGAAGAGACAATTAGCATAAGTAAATCAGGAGTGAGATGACAAGTTGCTTAACATTTGTTTCTGTCCATTGGGTGAGATCTGAGGTTGCTGTTAAGCCTCGGTATGAGTAGGGGATAGGGAGAGAAGAGCATAAGGAAAGAGAGGTTAACTCCAGGTTTGGCAAATATAATCAGAACCAACTGGTTAAAATCAGAATATTGGGCTGGGCGCGGTGGCTCACACCTGGAATCCCAGCACTTTGGGAGGCCAAGGCAGGCAGATCACCTGAGGTCAGGAGTTCAAGACCAGCCTGGCCCATATGGGGAAACTCTGTCTCTACTAAAAATACAAAAATAAGCCCTGCATGGTGATGCATGCCTGTAATCCCAGCTACTCGGGAGGCTGAGGCAGGAGAATTGCTCCAACCTGGGAGGCAGAGGTTGCAGTGAGCCAAGATGGCGCCACTGCACTCCAGTCTGGGTGACAGAGACTCAGTCTCAAAAAAAAAAAAAAAAAAGAAATCAGAACACTGAAATTAAATGCAAAACAGATAGACTCATTTCAGTTTTAGAAATCAACCTCACCAACAGGTGACAGGAACTGGGAAACATTAGGAGATGATGATTGATTTGGGAAATTCACATGAAACCTTAGCCATTTCTCCTGAGCAGAGAGGACAAGAAATAAGAATGAAGGTGCATTTTAGTTGAGGGTGCTTTTCATACCCACTCAGAACTTCATTTGCCTGTGGATATTCTAAACAACAACATCTATCTTGTGACCAGGCCCGAGGCTCACGACAGCACAGTTAAGGTTACAGTCCCTCTCTGGTGTTTGAGAATGGTTACCGCTTGCTCGTGAGTAACACCTTCCAGGCTCTCGCCATTAACAGCTAAAATCTGATCCCCTCGTTTTAATCGGCCGTCATCTGCAGCGGCTCCCTACAAACAAGAAACATTCCAGTTTAATCCAGGCTAAAGCACAGTTCATATAACATTCATATTAAAAACTCTAAGTTCTGTCTGGTGTGCATATTAAAAGAGGAACTTTAAAAACTACCAATTAAAGTTTTTTTCTAGGTAGTGTTTTAAATGAGGAAAAATGTAAGATACGTTGTTTGAATAATAATGGTTGAATAGTAACTACAATTATGGATAATCTAAATAACATACTAGTTGAAATGTACTGATACACTTCTTTTAATACAAGTAGAACCTTATTTCACTATTTAGTATAAATGGAATTGGATGTCATGTCACCTCCTATTCATGGAAATGTAATATACAAAAAAAGGCAGATAGAATTGAATCTGGTGTTAGTCTTATAATACCACCATTATACAGAGTTCCCATTGCATTATTAAGCTATCAGCACTGTGATCTGTCAAAAATAAGTGTAGTCTTTAAATGGGTGGATTGTATGGTAAGTGAATTATATCTCAATAAAGCTGTTATCTATATATAAATATGTAAAGTGTAGCGTCTCTAAAATTTTGTAATATCATATTCAAAACCTTCCACTTTATCTTTGATCATCTAAATAGGTTTCTAAATGACTACTTTTATTATATACTCAGTCATGCATGGCTCCTCAAAACGGCACAAAGCCAGTGAAACTTCGGGGTTTTTTCACTCTAAAGCTGCATATCTAAAAATGCCACGATATTACTAGAAACATTTTGGACTGGTAAGGGAAGAAAAGACCTAAAAAATGATTTACAGGAGGTTTCACCATCTGTAGGGGGTAACTGTTTAAGTCCCTTGAAAAGTCAGTGCCACAAGAATCCTCTAAATGAGGTCAAACTTCAGGGGGCAACCAAAGCCTACAGGCACTTGGCTCTTGACCGACTCAATCAGAAGCCGAGCTACGAGGCACCAGCGCTCCTGAGACCTGTGTCCATGTGCAGCTTGGAGGTCCTGAGATGCTGGGAATCAGACAGGTTTTCTAAACCGTGAGAATGGTGGAATTTCTAAATGAATGTGCAATAAAGAATATTAAAAACCCACTGGGTGCAGTGGCTCACGCCTGTAATCCCAGCACTTTGGGAATCTCAGGTGAGAGGATTGCTTGAACTCAGGAGTTTGAGACCAGCCTGAGCAACATGGTGAAACTCTGCCTCTACAAAAAATTAGCTGGCTGTGGTGGCTTATGACTGTGATCCCAGCTACTTGGGAGGCTGAGCAGGGGGATCACTTGAACCTGCAGAGGTTGGAGTGAGCTGAGATAGTGCCACTGCACTCCAGACTGGGTGACAGAGTGAGCACTGTCTCAAAAAAAAAAAAAAAAAAAAAAAAAAAAAATTAAAAAAAGTATATACAATGGGGAAAAAAAAAAAATTAAGTATTAATAACTTGCAACTGGCCAGGCACAGTGGCTCATGCCTGTAATCCCAGCACTTTGGGTGGCCAAGGCAGGAGGATCACCTGAAATCAGGAGTTCGAGACCAGACTGGCCAACATGGTGAAATCCTGTCTCTACTAAAAATAAAAAAATTAGCTGGGTGTGATGGGATTAGCTGGGATTAGCTGAAATTAGCTGAGATTACCCCATTGCACTCAGCCTGGGCAAAAAGAGCAAAACTCTGACTCAAAAAAACAAAAAACAAAACAAAAAACCCAAAACTTGCAACTTCACTCAAATCTTTTAAGAAAGTAATGGGTCAACTGTACTAAAGACAAAATTAAACAAGTAATTTTACTGGATAAAATCAGAATTACAAACAAAGTTGATTTCATTAAATTTTACATGCTAAGATTTAAGGGCTTCAGTAAATCTCAGATATCTGTGTAAATTAGTTTTTTAAAAACTATGTTAAGCTCTTTATCTTTTTTAGTAATGCAAAAAAAGAATTTTTTAATTTTTTTGAGAAGGAGTTTCACTCTTGTCACCCAGGCTGGAGTGCAATGGTGCGATCTTGGTTCATTGCAACCTCCACCTCCTGGGTTCAAGCAATTCTCCTGCCTCAGCCTCCCGAGTAGTTGGGATTACAGGCTTCTGCCATCAGGCCTGGGTAATTTTTGTATTTTTAGGAGAGAGTTTCACTATGTTGGCCAGGCTGGTCTCGAACTCTTGACCTCAGGTGATCCACCTGCCTCAGCCTCCCAAAGTTCTGGGATTACAGGTGTGAGCCCGTGCCCAGCCAGGATGATTTTTTTAACTTTCTAGGTTTTGGACTCTCTCTGGTGTTGCCGTGCTTGGTTGATGAGCACTTACTGAGGTGTATCTATTCTCCTACTTTACCAATGTGGCATTTGTGGACTACAGGGGAAAAGGTAAAAACGAAATAAATACATGGCTTGAAAACCTCTACCTACTTCGTAATTGTGCCTCTTTACTCACTTGCTATTTGTCCCAAGTTGGTCACTTAGTCTTCTCAGATGCCGTAAAATGGGCATCTGCTATCTACCTTGTGGCCTGTTCTAAGGATTAAATGTATGACACATGGCATTTACTCAACATGGTGGTAAATAACATAAAACACTAGTGACAACCAAGTTCATGGTTCAGATTTCATAGGCTCTGAAAAACTGCTCCTTACATTTTTAGAGTTGCGGAAGTCTTTGGGTCAATCTCTTATTTGGCTTAGGGTAAAATTCGGCTGCTGAAGGGACTAAGACCTAAGGTTGGCTTGGATTTTTTTTTTTTTGAGACTGAGTCTTACTCTCTTGCTCAGGCTGGAGAGCAGTGGTGTGATCTCAGCTCACTGCAACCTCCACCTCCCAGGTTCAAGTGATTCTCGTGCCTCAGCCTCCCGAGTAGCTGGGATTACAGGTGCCTGTCACTACGAATGGCTAATTTTTGTATTTTTAGTAGAGAGGAGGTTTCACCATGTTGGCCAGGCTGGTTCTGAACTCCTGACCTCAAGTGATCTGCCTGCCTCGGCCTCCCAAAGTGCTGGGGATTACAGGCATGAGCCACCATGCCTGGCCTACATTGGAGTTTTAAAAAAAAATCTTTTTCATTTTAGAGATGGGGTTGTCCCCATCTCATTTTTGTTGTTGTCTACGCTGATCTTGAACTCCTGGACTCAAGTTATTCTCCTGCCTCAGCCTCTCAAAGTGCTGGGATTACAGGTGTGAGCCACTATGTCCTGCCCTACTGGAATATTCTTTTTTTTTTTTTTTGAGACAGAGTCTTGCTCTGTCGCCCAGGCTGGAGTGCAGTGACGTGATCTCGTCTCATTGCAAGCTCCGCCTCCCGGGTTCATGCCATTCTCCTGCCTCAGCCTCCAGAGTAGCTGGGACTACAGGTGACCACCACCACGCTCGGCTAATTTTTTTATATTTTTAGTAGAGACAGGGTTTCATCGTGTTAGCCAGGATGGTGTCGATCTCCTGACCTCGTGATCTGCCCACCTTGGCCTCCCAAAGTGCTGGGATTACAGGTGTGAGCCACCGTGCCTGCCTGGAATATTCTTTTAGTAAGACTGACTGCGCTAAGTGGGCCACTGGATAGGGCTTAGAAATTTGTCTTTTTATTTTTTTTAATTCAGAGCTTTTCATTTTTAGGTGTGCCATTCTGTAGGTAATGAAATACACGAAGGATATTCAATATCTATTCCTTACACATGTTTCTACTTCCAAGGGTGCTTCCTAAAGGAGCTCTTTCAGTGGGGCCTTTGAAGAGGGCATTCTGTGTGAGCTGCAGTCCATTCTTTATTCCCACTACTCTTGTCCCACTGTGTGGATGCTGCTGGGTTCTTTTAAAAATTCACCAGCAATGCACAGGCATTTTACTCTTAGCTGTATGTTCTGGTGCCACGTCAGGGTGTCTGGCTCCCAGCTGTATGTTCTGGTGCCCTGTCAAAAGTGTCTGCGTCCCAGCCTACCAATCTATTGAAAGTGTAGACAGCTGGGGCAGCCTGCTGAGCTCTGGGTCCAGGTCAAAAGGCCTTAGAAGCTGACCCCATGTTGTATCTGTATCCAGTTATCATGAAGTGAACGGGTGATTGCAAACATTCTGGAGGGGCTTTGTGGAGGCAACGGCAGGCCAGCAGAACGTGTTAAAACATGGGGGCTAATTATGCAGCCTTCCCACTGTCCTTATCTACATAGCTGGCTATTTCAAAAGCAAAGTATAATAATGCCCTCCAAAGAATAATTATCCCAACAACTTATGGTATTAGATGTGTCACAGGAGAAGGATGGTCAGTTTATGGTTTGTCTACCTTGGGGATAAGCGTTCTGCTACCCAGAATGTTTCTGTGCTGCCTTTCCTCTCCACTTTTGCCTATAACCAGTTTAACAGGTTGTGTTGGGGAATACCGTACCCTAATAGGCACTCTCGCAAGATGCAGGAAGTGGGTAAATGTGCAGCTGCTCAATGTGGTCCAAAAGCAAATACCAAATGACTTAAGGGTTTTATGGCAGTTCACTGGGCCCAATTAACAGGTGATAAGATCTAAGATCTGCACAGGTAAAAGCAAGCTTGTATTTAATGTATAGTAGAGCTTTCTAGAAAGAGACAGATTCCTTCTTATTTCTCCTTTCGAAGACCTTTATCTCTCTCTGTCTTTTTTTTTTTTTTTTTTTGAGATGGAGTCTCACTCTGTTGCCCAGGCTGGAGTGTAGTGGTGCCATCTGGGTTCATGGGAACATCTGCCTCCCAGATTCAAGGGATTTTCATGTCTCAGCCTCCCAAGTAGCTGGGATCACAGGTGTGTACCACCACGCCAGGCTAATTTTTGTGTTTTTTAGTAAAGAAGGGTTTCACCATGTTGATCAGGCTGGTCTTGAACTCAGGTGATCCGCCCACCTCAGGCTCCCAAAGTGCTGGGATTATAGATGTGAGCCACTATGCCCAGCCTTGAGGACCTTTATTTCTTTAGGAAACTAAAGCAGTTCAACAAGATCTGTTCATAAACAAATGACTGTGATAAAACCAAAGAAGAAAAAAAACTGTAATATCAATTTGAAATACTTCTCAGAGATCTTCAAAATTTATTTAAAAATTAAATTCCAATTAAAAAAAATTACAATGAAGTGAAAAATAATTACTCAGGCTGGGCACAGTGACACACACCTATAATCCCAGCACTTTGGATGGCCGAGGTGGGTGGATCGCCTGAGCTCGGTAGTTTGAAATCAGCCTGGGCAACATGGCGAAAGCCCGTCTCTACCAAAAACGACAATTAGTCAGGTGTGGTGGCAAGCGCCTGGAGTCCTAGCTACTGAGGCAGGAGAATTGTTTGAACCCGGGGAGGCGGAGGTTGCAGTGAGCTGAGACCATGCCATTGCACTCCAGCCTCAGTGACAAGAGCAAAACTCCATCTCAAAAAAAAAAAAAAGAATGCAGAATGCACTGATTCGAGGCTTGCATAGCACAAACCTTTCTGCCTTAGCCCCCAGTGCCTATTATTTTCAAGAAGAAGGCCAAATCTTTTTTCTAGTTCAGAACAATATTTCCAAGGACAACTTCTAAAGAGTGGCACTGCTCCTTATGCTGTGTTGCTGAAAGAAGACACTCTAAAAATCTGTGAGTATCTGCTTCCGTAATAGAATCCAAAGAAAACTGCACTTCTTGTGACTCCGCCATTGTAAAAGAACTCTTCTTTCACTATTCTGGTGTGAGAATTTCCTATAAGATTCAAATGAAATAAGCATACATGCACACATCCAGGTTTAACCCAAAGTAAAGCTAAGCAAAGCACTTAAAAAAAAAAAATCTCACCTAGGTTTAATTTTTTTAAAAAAGTACATTAAAAAAGAAAATATACCTTTGCAAATATAGTCTTGACATAAATTGGCAGGTCTCCATGGGGACTTCCATAACCCCCTACAATACTAAACCCCAATCCTGCAGAGCCTTTCTCCAAAGCAATAATCTTAGGTGGAGGTGTTCTGAAAACACAATGCATGCTGTTTAATTCCAGAATAGATATCGAGAGGGAATTTCATTTTATTGGAAGAATACAGATTTGAGAGAGACTTTCATACTGCAAAACTATGAAGTTTGGTTGATCAAATCAAACTCTCAGAAAGCAATCTAGAAAGTTATTTTAAAACTTCTCACATCATGCCAATTAATCACCTATATTCTTGATGTTTTAGAGGTTTCTCTTCCATAAAACTCACTGATTTCTAATTAAAGATAAAGTCATGATGCTGAAATTGTCAAAGCACTCTTCTATGTGCTTAGTTTTAAACTCTTTTTATTTATTTATTTTTTTGAGACGGAGCTGGGACTATGGGTGCATGCCATGCCTGGCTAATTTTTGTATTTTTAGTAGATATGGGGTTTCATCATGTTGGCCAGGCTGGTCTTGAACTCCTGACCTCAAGTGATCTGCCTGCCTCGACCTCCCAAAGTGCTGGGATTATAGGCATGAGCCACTGCACCCAGCTAGTTTTTAACTTTTAAACTTACGACTGACAGCTGAAGGAAGCTGTCATCACATCCTTGAAGCATGTGCATGGAAAGAGAGGTAGCGTGTCTCCTAGTGTGGTGGGAGACTTCACGTGAACTCTTGTCCATAATAGGCAGCAGCAGCCCGCATCTCAGGAAACTGCTGCTCCTTTTCTTTTATCTTTTTTTTTCTTTTGAGACAGAGTCTTGCTCTGTTGCCCAGGCTGGAGTGCAGTGGCACAATCTTGGCTCACTGCAACCTCCACCTGCCAGGTTCAAGCGATTCTCCCGCCTCGGCCTCCTGAGTAGCTGGGATAACATGGATGTGCTACCATGCCCAGCTAAGTTTTGTATTTTTAGTAGAGACGAGGTTTCACCATGTTGGCCAGGCTGGTCTCGAACTCCTGATTTCAGGTGATCCTCCTGCCTTGGCCACCCAAAGTGCTGGGATTACAGGCATGAGCTGCCACACCCAGGCTGCTGCTCCTTTTCTGCCTGAATGCCCTGGCCACTTCCACCTAAGGCAGGAACTCATTCTCCAAACTCACTTCCAATGTGAGGTTCTCCTGCCTCTCTTGGGAGGATGGGTTCCACATCCTTTTCTTTTTCTTTCTTTCTTTTTTTTTTTGAGACAGAATCTCGTTCTGTCACCCAGGCTGGAATGCAATGGTGCAGTCTCGGCTCACAGCAACCTCCGCCTCCCAGGTTCAACCAATTCTCCTAGTTTCAGCCTCCTGAGTAGCTGGGATTACAGGCGTCTGCCACCACATCTGGCTAATTTTTGTATTTTTGTAGAGACAAGGTTTCACCATGTTGGCCAGGCTGGTCTCGAACTCCTGACCTCAGGTGATCCACCTGCCTCGGCCTCCCAAAGTGCTGGGATTACAGGTGTGAGCCACTGTGCCCGGCCTCCACATCCTTTTCTGTGCTTCCCCTGCACTGAGTCCAAATTTCCATTTCAGCACTGACTATATCACATTGTAATTACTTTGCCATCCATTTCCTCTACCAGACTATGACCTCTTTGTCTTAGTCATCTGAGCCTTCCCAGTACCATGTGTGGTGCTTGTCAGAAACTCAGGATCATGACTGTGTAAATGAGAACTGAAATCCAGGAGAGAAGAGAGAAACCAAGGTAAAGCAAAATGGAGAAAGAAAATCTGTTTCAAGTGTAAAATTTAGCTTTTCAAAGCTTCATCCAGTGTGGAAGTCTTCTCTCTCAGAAACAACATGGCTAAAAATTAAATTACCTATGTGGGTTCCCAGTAATTTAATCTTAATGAAAGCTTAGGTGATGCCAATTTCTTATTCCCAAATGCTATTGCTCAAAAGGCAGAAACCCAGACCCTGTCTTATTTATGATAGGTAATTCACATTTGTGTACTGGCAGCATCCTTTGTTTTGTGGCCACATGCATGTCTGAGAGGCAGTCATCTCATATAAACTCAGCCATTCATGTACTTAGAGAAATTTGCAAAATGGGGACACAAGCGATCTTTGAATATATTGTTCTGTTTAACTAGAATATTCTTCCCTCTCTTCCTCTTCAATTTCGCTGGGTTTATTAAAGGGTTTTCAGCTGGTTCACTTTGTTACCAGTTGTTTGTTGATGTACTTACTGGTTGTTTACAGCAGACATCCATAGTTATTGCTGATGATCTATGCTATATAAATTGTTAACTGATTTTTTGTTTGTTTTTTGTTTTTTTGAGATGGAGTTCTGCTCTTGTTGCCCAGGCTGGAGTGTAATGGCATGATCTCAGCTCACCGCGACCTCCGCCTCCTGGGTTCGAGTGATTCTCCTGCCTCAGCCTCCCAAGTAGCTGGGATTACAGGCATGCGCCACCACGCCCGGCTAATTTTGTATTTTTAGTAGAGATGGGGTTTCTCCATGTTGGTTAGGCTGGTCTTGAACTCCTGACCTCAGGTGATCTGTCTGCCTCGGCCTCCCAAAGTGCTGGGATTACAGGCGTGAGCCACCACGCCCGGCTTTGTTAACTGTTTTTAACTGTTCTGTTTGTCTTTACATTTTTTTATAAACACAGAGTCTGACTATGTTGCCCAGGCCTTGGCCTCTCAAAGTGCTGGGATTACAGGAGTGAGCCACCACACTTAACTATTTTGAATGCCACCTGCTTATTCCAAATTTTTTTCTGTTTTTTTGAGACAGGGTCTTGTTCTGTCTCCTAGGCTGGAGTACAGTGGAACAATCGCAGCCCATTGCAGCCTCAAACTCCTGGGTTCAAGTGATCCTCCCACCTCAGCCTCTTGAGTAGCTGGGACTACAAGCATGCACCACTATGCCTGGCTCCAGGCAGGCTCCAGTTCTCTTAAGCTTAAGCATTAGCTTCTCCAACTACACTCCTTCATTGAGTTATGCCCCATATCCATGGTTTCACAGGACCCTCTCTCAATGAATTTAGCTCTCCTACAGTTATCTTTTATAACCATGGATTTATGGGTCTGTTTTTCCACTTCTTTGGCAGCTCTTTGGGGACTGGGGCAGTATCTTTACTTACATTTCTAAGTTTGCGTCCTCAGGACCTAGCACTTGTATCTAAGTGTCTGGCCTTAGAATGGTGCTCAATAAATATCTGTTGAGATACTGATGAATTGTCCCCTATAGCTGAATGATTACGACGTCATGAATAAGGCTCTACTTTTCCCCACTTCGTGGACTTACAGGCACTGTCAGTAACAGCTCACTGGCCGGATACAAATTCGATTCATGTTTCTTCTTTCAAACACAGCCCCCATTTCCAAAGATACTGGAATGGGAACCTAGATGCCCAAAGCCATTGTTTTAGAGCTACCTCCTGCGGCCCCAAATCATTAAAGACCCTTATAATTGTGCCTATTTATACTCAGGGACGTGTTTTCAGGGGAAGAGGGAGGAGTGTGGCTCTACTCCTCAACTGGCAACATCAGATGGAATTTGCCTCCATTGATCTCACAATATCATAACATTTTCAACCCATTAGTTTAAATTTACTTTCATATAGAAGACTAGTTAAAAAAAAAAAATCCCAATGTTTGTTCTGAGTGATTTTAAAATTCCTTTAAGCTTGTTGTTCCCAGCCTGCCAGAGGCCATGGAATTATAGCAAAGGAATTAAGATTACAAGGGGATCTCTGTATTTCCACAGACACATCAAAGGATGCTAAAGGCACACTGTACTTCCTATAAAGGCCCTGTTTTTTCTTTTTTTTTTTTTAAGGAAAAGGCCACCATAATTTGAAAAATGTTATATTTCTATGTTTTGTTGTATTTTTATGGCAGGCATGTATTACTTTTATAACGAGAAAAAGGTAGAATGAGCTTAATTTAATATTCTTTCCTCAAGAAAAATAAACTCAAAGATGTCATTTAGGTGGGGAACTACGAGGAAAAAGTTGGATGGGCTATGACCATGAGATCCTTCAAATGAACCATCCAGATCTGTCAACAAACATTTATTAAGCACCTACTAGTGACCAGGCACTGCTGGTACCTGCGAGGAATGGCTTTAGGCAGCATTTCTCAAAGTGTAGATCCTTTGTCCACCTGTAGCAGAATCACTCTGGGAAACTTGTTAACATCAGGTTTCTGGAATCCACCATAGACCACCTAGTCAGAATTTTGGGATGTGGCCTGGGGAATTAGCATCTTTAAACGTGCTACCTAGATTAATCTTTTTTTTTTTTTTTTTTTTTTTTTTTTGAGATGGAGTTTTCCTCTTATTGCCCAGGCTGGAGTTCAGTGGTGCAATCTTGGCTCACTGCAGCCTCTGCCTCCTGGGTTCAAGCAATTCTCCTGCCTCAGCCTCCTGAGTAGCTGGGATTACAGGCACCCGCTACTACGCCTGGATAATTTTTTATATTTTTAATAGAGACAGGGTTTCACATGTTGGCCAGGCTGGTCTCTAACTCCTGACCTCAGGTGATCCACCCGCCTCGGCTTCCCAAAATGCAGGCATTACAGGCGTGAGCCACTGTGCCCAGCCCTTAGATTACTCTTATGCACATTCTAGTTTGAGAAACCCTGCTTTAATGAATGACTTTAACTGCAATGACTGGTTTTAATGAAACATGTCAGCAAGTATAACAACAAGATTTCATCTCAGAACAAGATTTTAGCCTAGAAGTTCAGGAAACATGGCTCCTTGCACAATAAAGCAGGGTGTACTTGGGCTATACATCCGTGGTTTCTTAGGGAAGCAGGCACAGGCACTGTGTCAAAGTGACCACGTGCGGCATGTGTGCAGGCCCTGCAACAATGGTCTTTCAAGAACTCATATGGTGGAATTAAGCCTTGTGAGAAATAAGGATTCCCTAGAATTTAGAAAAAGTCATGGGTGCTTTGGCCTCCTCTCCTTTAGAGTGCACTTGAGTATCTGGAAAAGTTCTTCTGAGCTTTGCCCACATGCATAATAGGCCCTCTGCATCTGAAATACTCACTCTGTGTCTTCTGGATGGTGTTCAGCAGTGGGTGAACCAAGGTGGTAGCCTGTAGACATGTTTTCAAGCTGAGCTGCTATGGCACTTATGTTGGTATCTGCTACAACCTGGGGAAAAAGTGAAAACATGGTATTTCATTATAAGGAAGGGGAGAATTAGAGAAACCATGCTATATCCAAGGGTCAGTTCTCAACCCTAATCTTATCCAACTTATCTGGACCATTTGACACAATGGACTATTCTCTCTTTCAGACTTTTTTTTTTTTAAGACAGGGTCTCACTCTGTTGCTCAGGCTGGAGTGCAGTGATATGATTTCAACTCACTGTAGCCTTGACTTCCCAGGCTCAAGTGATCGTCCCACCTCAGCCTCCCACGTAGCTGGGACCACAGGCATGCACCACCAAGCCCAGCTAATTTTTTTTTTTTGAGATAGAGTTTCACTCTTGTCACTTGGGCTGGAGTGCAGTGGTGCGATCTTGGCTCACTGCAAACTGTGCCTCCCAAGTTCAAGTGATTCTCCTGACTGAGCCTCCTGAGTAACTGGGATTACAGACACCCGCCACCATGCCTAATTTTTTTTTTTCAGACGGAGTCTCGCTCTGTCACCAGGCTAGAGTGCAGTGGCACGATCTTGGCTCACTATAACCTCCGCCTCCTGGATTCAAGTGATTCTCCTGCCTCAACCTCCCGAGTAGCTGGGACTACAGGCACACGCCACCACGCCTGGCTAATTTCTGTATTTTTAGTAGAGACGGGGTTTCACCATGTTGGCCAGGATCGTCTCCATCTCTTGACCTCGTGATCCACCTGCCTTGGCCTCCCAAAGTGCTGGGATTACAGGTGTGAGCCACCGTGCCTGGCCTAATTTTTATATTTTTAGTAGAGACGGGGTTTCACCATATTGGCCAGGCTGGTCTCAAACTCCTGACCTCAGGTGATCCACCCACCTTGGCCTCCCAAAGTGCTGGGATTATAGGCGTGAGCCACCACGCCCGGCCCTGGCTAATTTTTTTGTATTTGTAGAGATGGAGATTTTGCCATGTTGCTCAGGCTGGTCTCCCACATCTGAGCTCAAGTGATCTGCCCACCTTGGTATCCCAAAGTGTTGGAATTATAAGCATGTGCCCCTGCACCCAGCCTTAAACTATTTTCTTCATTTCTTCGTTTGGCTTCCATGACACCACAATTCATTAGTTTATTTTCCACCACTTCTGGCCATTCCTTTTATCATTCAAACCTCTAACTGAGGGCCACAGGGCTTAGTCCTTGAGCTTCTTATCTTTTCCATTAAACATATTATCCCATCCCATTGTCTCCCATTCCATCCCATCCCATATCCCATTCCATCCATCTCATGAATGTAAATACCATTTAAGTGATGATAATGCCTGAATCTGTATCTCTAGCTCCAGTGCTTACCTAACACCAGATCCATATATCCAGTTGGCCTCTGGATATATGGATCTAGTTGTCACTGGGTCCATAGACATCTATGGGACATCTCCAGGAATCTCAAAGCTAACATGTCTTAAATGGAGCCTTTGCTCCCTGCAACCTTTACTCCTGGAGCCTTCTTCATCTTGGGCAACTGCAACTTGATTTTTCCAGTTTCAAGGATGGTGTCATCCTTGGCTCATCTCTGTCTCTTACAACCCACATTCCATCCTCATGAAATTCTTTTTTTTTTTGAGATGGAGTCTCGCTCTGTCGCCCAGGCTGGAGTGTAGTGGCGGGATCTCGGCTCACTGCAAGCTCCGCCTCCCAGGTTCAAGCCATTCTCCTGCCTCAGCCTCCTGAGTAGCTGGGACTACAGGCGTCCACCACTCGCCTGGCTAGTTTTTTTGTATTTTTTTAGTAGAGACGGGGTTTCACCGCTTTAGCCAGGATGGTCTCGATCTCCTGACCTCGTGATCCGCCCGCCTCGGCCTCCCAAAGTGCTGGGATTACAGGCTTGAGCCACCGTGCCCGGCCATCCTCATGAAATTCTATTGGTTTTTCTTTCTTTAAAATTTTTAAATTATTTTTATTTTTTTGAGAGGGAGTTTCACTCTTGTTGCCCAGGCTGGAGTGCAATGGCGTGATCTCGGCTCACCACAACCTCTGCCTCCTGGGTTCAAGCGATTCTCTTGTCTCAGCCTCCCAGTAGCTGGGATTACAGGCATGCACCACCACGCCCAGTTAATTGTTTTGTATTTTAGTAGAGACGGGGTTTCTTCATGTTGGTCAGACTGGTCTCGAACTTCTGACCTGAGGTGATCCGCCTGCTTCAGCCTCCCAAAGTGCAGGGATTACAGGCGTGAGCCCGCCTGCCTCAGCCTCCCAAAGTGCAGGGATTACAGGTGTGAGCCACCATGGCTGGCAAAATTCTATTGGTTTTTCTATGAAACCATTTCTAGCCTTCTCACTGGTCTCCTCGATTCAGCCCCTCCATCCATAGCGGCTAGGATGTTTCTGTTACAATGGAGCACATTATTCCAATATTTTGCTTAAAACTGTCCAAAGAAAGCCGACTCTCTTGGACCACCACTGAAGTCCCTCCTATGACCTCTAGGGTCATCTGCAATGATGTGCCCTGTGACATCTCTGCCTCTCCCCTAACATTCTCCTCGGTATTCTCTCTGCCCCATTGTGCCGGCCTCCTCGCTGTTTCTCTCACATGCCAGCCGCATCCCCACCTCAGCACTTTAACCGCTGTGCCTTCTGCCTGGCATGTTCTGTATTTGGCATCTGTGTGGCTGGCTTCTTCCCTACTCTCAGGCCTTTGAGCCACCTTCCCTGGTCACTGTAACTAACCTTTCCACGCCAACATCCCAGCTCCATGTTTCATGTTCCCCTTCCCTGCTTCCTGGTTCCTTCTAAATATTTATTTATTTCATTTATTTATTTATTTTTTTATTTTTGAGACAGAGTCTCACTCTGTCACCCAGGCTGGAGTGCAGTGGCATGATCTTGGCTCACTGTAGACTCTGCCTCCCGAGTTCAAGCAATTCTCGTGCCTCAGCCTCCCAAGTAGCTGGGATTATAGGCGCAGGCCACCATGCCCGGCTAATTTTTTTGTATTTTTAGTAGAGACGGGGTTTTACCATGTTGGCTAGGCTGGTCTTGAACTCCTGACCTCAAGTGATCCGCCCGTCTTGGCCTCCCAAAGTGCTGAGATTACAGGCATGAGCCACCATGCCCGGCCTTTTATTTTTTGAGACAGGGACTCGCTGTCGCCCAGGCTGGAGTCCAGTGGTATGATCTCAGCTCACTGCAGCCTCAACCTCCTGGGCTCAAGAGATCTTCCCACCTCATCCTCCAAGTAGCTGGACTACTGGCATGCACCACCATGCCCAGCTAACTTTTTAGTTTTTGTAGCAACAGTGTCTCACTGTGTTGCTCAGGCTGGTCTTAAATTCCTGGGCTCGAGTAATCCTCCCACCTCGGCTCCAAAAGTAGGGAGGATTACAGGCGTGAGCCACCCCACCTGGCCTGTTTTCTTCGTACCACCATCACTATCTAATGAACTGCATACATCTTTCTTTGTTTATCTTATTTATTGTCTATTGCTTCATATTAGAATGTAGGGGCAGGAAGTTTGTCTGCTTTGTTCACTCCTGTATTCCCCATCACATAGAAGAGTGCCTAGCACAGAGCAGGTGCTCAGTAAATAACTGGCGAATGAAAGAATGGATGAATATCTCTGACTCCCTGAGATTTGCCTCTTAGATAGTCCTGAGCAAAGGTATAGTAGAATAGGCTGTGTACTGTGGCTTGCACCTGTAATCCCAGCACTTTTGGAAGCCGAGGTGGGCGGATCACTCAAGCTCAGGAGTTCAAGACCAGCCTGGGTAACATGACAAAACTGTCTCTACTAAAAATATAAAAAACATTAGCTGGTGTGGTGGCACACGCCTGGAGTCCCAGCTACTCGGAAGGCAGAGGTTGCAATGAGCAGAGATCATATCGCTATGCTCCAGAGTAAAACTCTGTCTCAAAAAAGAAAATAATAAAAATAACCAAAGAAACCCACAAACGCACACAAAAACAAACGTATAGTAGCATAATGGCATTTAAACACTCACTTTATATTTGCATTCTCCAAATAACTTTTTTTTTTTTTTTGCAAATAACATTCTAAAGCATTTAGAAGAAATATAGTATAGCTCTGGGAGTCCACAACAGGACTCAGGATGGAGTTCCAGAGTTCAGTTTCAGCCACTTATCAATGCCGTATCTGAATTTCAGCTTCCTCATCTATTAAATGGGAATCATAAAAGTCTGCTTTGTCGCCTTATCCTGGAGATGTCTTCCACCTCAACTAGTTACCAGAGATACTTTCTCAAGAGCTCCTTGGTTACCCCTGCTTTTAGGTTATAATTCTCACTGCACAAATACAGAGGGAACTTTGCTTGCCAGCACTGCAAAGCTCGACTTGATTGCAGTTTCAGAAAAGGCCAACAGAGGGCACAGCTGCCTAAACTGCTAAATTAAGCTTCATCTGTTAAGTAGGGCAGAAAAAGAAAGGCAACAGGCCTGCCCCAGAACACATTTTGGGTGAAGCATCCTATTCTGGGGAAACCAGTGCTATGTCCAAGTTACAGAATCTTCTGGAAATACCAGTGTATGAAGAATGACGGAATGAATTGGGAAATATTTAGGATGAAAGATTAAAGGAGGAAACGACAGATTTCTCCCTGCCCCCAAGTTCTGCTCTCATCCACAGCAAGTGTACTGGAAGGGTTAACTTGTCCATGAACTCTTTTATCCTCCCTACTTTTGGAGTCTACCATCTTTATAAACCTACCCCTCTCCAGTTTCCATCCCCATCTCCTACCCAACCCAAACTTCCATGACCCACATTCTTCTGGCTTTTCTTCTGTGGGGGCCTGTTTCTCCATCTCTTTGCTCTTCTTTCATTCATCTCTTACGATGCAGTCCTGGGCCCATTGTCCACTTGCACACTCAGGCTCAAGTGACAGCATGTACATTCCCACAGCTTTACATTCCAACAACGTGCTCACAATCCCAGCTTAGGCCAGGCGTGGTGGCTCGCGCCTGTAATCCCAGCACTTTGGGAGGCAGAGCGGGCTGGATCACCTGAGGTAAAGAGTTCAAGACCAGCCT